AACTGAAGGAATTAATCCTCCCCTTCCATCATGCCCTGAATCAACAGGTACCTGACCCTTCTACCTTCTTTTCCTTTCTCCTCCCTTTTCCCTGTGGTGCATTGCCTCCAATAAGGATTTGCCTTAGTTTAAAACGTGTATGGTCAATATTAAACCTCTATTACTGAGAAGTACCTTCCCCAGCCCCCTCCTACCCATTCCCAGCATTCACAAGGAGTTACAGAGACTAATCTGTGGCTACCAAAACAATTCATTACAAGAAGCATTTCAAGAAAATCCCGAGCCTGGCCTTCTCCACAAGACAAGAAAGATAGTTTTTCCTTGTAAAGAGCAGAAGGGAATGGACAGTTTGATCCCATGGAACATCCCTTCATTTCTGCTCCAGTGCCTGCCCGTGCACTGTGGAGCAGCAAATCCTGCTCCTCCCTGGCCATGCCCAGTGTCCCCAGCACAGCCTGAATTTCCAATCATGGTCAAAAACCAAACACACTGGGCAGACAAGAGGTGAGGTAGTTTCCAGAGCTTTTTTCCATGCAGTGGGCCTGAAATTCCACAAAACCTGGATGGCGGGGCTGGGCTCAGCCTTCATGGACGAGCCTGGGAGGTGCAAGGTCCTGAGAGCTCCTGTGGGATCCCCACCCTCTGCAGCTCCTCTCATCCAGCCCCCTTGAAATCCTTTCCCTGCCTGCCCAAGGAATTTTTTTCATTCCTAGGATTCAAGGCTGTGTAAGCGGGAACTTCTCCCCAGTATCCATCCCTAAAGCTCAAACATCCCTCAGCAGCTCTCCTGACTGCATCCAGGGCCTTGGAGGAATTGGGGTTTACACCACAGACCAGAATCTGCGGCCTCTTTTAACTGAAGGAAGTTTTTTTCATTTATGAAGCCTTTTTTGGGAATAAAAAATTGCAATATTTACTCTTTCAAGGCGTTCTGCTCTTAAAACTTTTATGTTTAGCAAGAAATTCTTGTCACAGCACAAGGTTTTTCCCCCCAGCTTTTATTCCCTGGACAAATTTATTTAATAAATAGCTGTTTCCTTAACTGAAATATTCTGATTTTAATTAAATGCAATTAAAAATGCCATTTTTAATGGGATTTTTTGTTTTGAAGTCCAAGTTTTAGGACTGGCTTGAGCAAGAAATTGCTGTCAGGCTGGAACAGTGAATGTTGCAGTGAGAGGTGCAGCAGCATTTAGCACAACTGTGACCTCACTGCACTTGTGTAAGGACAAATATAGTCACACACAAAAAACACAACTGGGGCTAAAAACTAGAGATAAATTCAACAAAAACCTCCTGTACCATCAGGAGTTACTAAATCTACAACACAAAATTACATTTCACTTTTCACTGATGGTTGCTCTACGATCTACCTTGATCTAAGGTTGATTTAATCGCATATTGAGCTACCAAAAATCTGTGTTTCCAAGGGAGTCACTGCTCTGATTCATCTTGCAGGTACACACAGGGATCAAAAACCAGCTGGCTTTTCCAGCCCCTCCTTGGAGCCAGGGAATTAGGGTGGCTTTTGATCCCATCAAGGATCATCTGCTGACTTTGGGAAGGGAAACACAGACTGGCTCCTCAGAAAAGTGAGGAAAAAGAGGATTGTCACTTGCTGCTTGCTCCAGAAGTGTTCTTCTATGTCTGTCGGGGGAGTTATCCCAACTTTTCTTAGAGTACTATCCTTGGAGCAAGGAGGGATACAGCATTCTGGCCCAGGGCATGTTGGGAAGGCACTCCCAGATTTCTTAGCCAGGAAATGGATTTTCCTGGCTTTATTGCTTTCTCCTGGCCTTCAGAAGAAAAGATTGACACACCCAAGGGTGGCCCTAAGGAGCAGCAGCTGCTCTGTGCCAGTGGGATGTTCCTGCTGGGGAAAACCCCAGTGAACCCACAGCACCATTGGGGTGATATTCCCAGGCAGTCCTGGAGATCCAGCTGCACTTATTTCCAGCAGGATAAATGAAGGAAAAAAAAAATCCCAAAAAACTAAATGAACAGCCTCATTTCACCCCCAAAATTTGAATTTCTGCTCATGAAAATCTGTTGCTGGAAACGTTGATAATTCCGTTCTTTGGATAATGGCACAATTAGAGAGGGACGTTTTAGATCAATATCAGCAGGAAAAAATCCTGTCTAACCCCACTGACTTTTCTGTGGGCAGCCACTATTCAAACCTTTCTTTTTTATTCCATTTATTTCTTAACAAGAGCATTTGCATTCATGCATTAATACAGGCAAGGAATAAAAAAAAAAAGCCCCAAAGTCCCCAGAAAGCAAAGAATAAAGTTGACAATCGACAAGCTCCTTTTCAGGATTTATCCTGGTTTTCCTTAGAAATGTTTTGAAGGAAAGCATCTTTAAAAGGGAGCATTTAATGTAGCAAATGGGATTTTAAAATGAGCATTTAATGTAGCAAATGGGATCTAAAAATGAGCATTTAATGATCCATATGGGATTTAAACTGAGCTTGAGGCTGCTAAAGGTGCCCAGAGCCCAAGTGGAAGACCCAATGGGAAGTAACATTTTTTAAGGACCTTCCTACAGGTGCTCCAAGTGGAAGAAATCCTTTTCCTAAATTCAAACTGTAAGATTTAAAAAAATAAATATTTATTTGCTTGCCTTAGGCCTTTCTGATGAGCCACAGGTTGTGTTCAAACAGCACAGCCACAGAGCGAGGAAACGCTCCTTGGTTTCCTCCTCACATTATTTGCTTTAAAATTAAAGCTGGGCAGGCTCTGCAGGACCTGAATCCATTTTAATCTTGACAATCTTCTGGAAAATCTCTATTAAAGCTCAGAGCTTAAAAGCTTAATGTGAGCACGGGGCCGGCTCCAGCAGCTCCCACCCCAGAGCTGACCCCACACTCATTCCTGGGTTTGTTGAAAGGTTTGTTAATGCTGGAATGGATGAGTTTTAAACCCCTAAATCACAGCAGCAGGTTCTGTTTCCTCTCCTGAGCTGCTTTGGTGATAATCATCAACAGAGATGCCAGGAAAAAGCTTGGCCACACCTTGTCCAGCTGTGGGACATCCCCATGGAGCTCCTGGCCCTCTCCAGGGAAGCCCTCGCCTCAGCAGAGGCTGGGAAGCCTGGCCAAGTACCTGAGTTTCATTATTTTCCCAGGAATATTTCTATTCCTGGCTGAAATGAGCCCAGTGGAATTCCAGCCCACAGGTAGAGCCTGGGAGCTGGGATCTCCACCCAGCCAAGGATAGGGAGAGTGAGATGGGCAGGACTCTGCTCCCAGACCAAATCCCAGCTTGGATTAATTCCCTGCCCCTGCCTCTGGCTGAGCTGTGCTAGAGGCACCCTCATCCCAGGGCATCAATCCCATGGGATCACCCTCCTGCTCCTCTGGAGATCAGACTGTGCCCACGCCCTGCTCCCAGGGAATGAGTGCCAGGGCAAGAGGAACAGCCTCAGGCTGGGCCAGGGGAGGTTTAGGTGGGATATTGGGAAAAATTCCTCCTGGAAAGAGTGGTCAGGCATTGGCACAGCTGCCGAGGGGGTGGAGTCACCATTCCTGCAGGGATTTCAAGCCCTGTGGATGTGGCATGTGGGGACATGGACAGTGGTGGCCTTGGCAGTGCTGGGGGAATGGCTGGACTTGACGACCTTAGAGGGTTTTCCTAATCTAAAAGATTCTATGAATCACATAGATGTTGTATTTTATATATTTATTTATATTATACATGGTATAAAATTATATATATATAAATATATAATATTTTTATATATTTTAAATAATATCTACTTGTATAAGCTAATATTTTATTAGTAATGGCATGGTTAACATTTTTTATGAATAATATTGTTGTTATTATTATCCTTTCCTTTGAGTCCCTTTTTTCTCCAATACTTACTGGGACAAGCCTGGTGTAGTAACAGCTTAGTAATGTCTGAGTAGCACTGGGATGGCTGAAAGCTTCACAGTGGCCTGGGCCTTCCCTTCCCTACAATTTGGTGAGATTTCTTTCCCTTTGGGATCATTTTGGTGACATGAAACACAGTCTGTTCCTTACACCATGGCACTGGATTTCATGGAATCATGGAATGGTTTGGGTTGGAAGGGAACTTAAAGCCCATCCAGTGCCACCCCTGCCATGGGCAGGGACACCTTCCACTATCCCAGGCTGCTCCAAGCCCCAAAGTCCAACCTGCCCTTGGACACTTCCAGGGATCCAGGGGCAGCCACAGCTGCTCTGGGCACCCTGTGCCAGGGCCTGCCCACCCTCCCAGGGAACAATTCCTTCCCAATATCCCATCTATCCCTGCCCTCTGGCACTGGGAAGCCATTCCCTGTGTCCTGTCCCTCCATCCCTTGTCCCCAGTCCCTCTCCAGCTCTCCTGGAGCCCCTTTAGGCCCTGGAAGGGGCTCTGAGCTCTCCCTGGAGCCTTCTCTTCTCCAGGTGAGCACCCCCAGCTCTCCAAATAACCACGATTATTCATTATTGATCCTCTCCAAGGCTTAAATCTCTGAAGGAACCTTTGGGAAAATCAAATACAATGAGTGAAAAATTTTCTTTTCTGTCTTTATGTTATTCATCCAACCTGCATTTTACAGCAACCTAAAGCTCTGCTTTTCTAAAAACTCCCATTTTACTTCCAGAAGCACAAGAACACGCCCCGGATGGATCTGAACAAATTTAAACCCCAGATTTTTCCCTTGAAAGGGTGTTTTTTTGTAAAAATGTGTCTTTTCTGACACACTTTGAATGACTCACATGAAAGCTTGTCTCTCACCCCTCAGCTCTGGGACTCTTTGCCAATGAATAACTCACAACAGGAATGAAACTCCCCCACAGCAAAGCTCCCCCTCCTCTCAGGAGGATGGGCAAACAGCAAAGATCAGAATAATAATAATAATAATCATTAAAACCAAAAGAGATGAGAAGGAAACAAATCAAATATTGCACTCACAAAAAAAAAAAAAAAAAAGGCAAGAGAGGACGGCAGTTTCATGGGATTTTTGGATAAATAAACAAGTGCCATACCTTTTCAAAAATTCCATATACTCAGTATGCTTGATGAGGCCAGTCCTCATCATTATTGTTTGAAAACATTGCCGATCAATAGCCCAAAGTTTCACATTTACGAGAGCTGGAAAAAAACAAGACAAGGGGAAAATGTGATTAGCAAAAAATGTCCAAATTCCTGTTGTGAACTGCAGAGGAAAATGATGTCATTGGTGAGAAAGCACGGGAATGGGGAATGCTGCAAACCAGGAAACTGGACATGAAAGCATGCACTGAAAGGATTGGGAAAATCCTGGTTTAGGAGTAGGATGTGGGGTTTTGGAAAGATGGCCTGAAAGCAGCTGTGAGGGGAGGAGGAATCAAGGAAGGCTAAAGGGGAGCAAGGATTCGGGGTCAGTTCATCACAACCTCCGTGATTTCGGGACATTTTTAGTGCGTTATCCAGCAAAATCCATTGATGTTCAGTCCTGCTCCCAAACTCCTCCTTGACCTCAAGGAAATTCCCAGCCCCAAGCCCTCTTACACCCAGAAATGAAATAATATGTTTCAGATAATGAAACACCTCCCAGCTGGGGAGGTTTTGAATCATTCTTTTCCAACTTTACTCTTTGGGTCCCTGCTGAATTCCAAGACTTCTGAGTTACTCAACAAACACCACATCCTGTTCTTCAGAGGCAAAATGTCATCGTAAAAACAGGGAAAACCAATGCATGAAGTAGAGGGTAGAACCTTAAAAGTCCCAGTTTTTATCTCAGCTGTGGCTTAGACATTTGCATTAACCATAAATGCTTGAGTATATACAGTTTATAATAGGGCTTCTCCTTAGAGAAACAGTTTGATTAAAACTATTCCCAGGACCACTACACTCATATTAATTTCTATTTTTTCAGAGAGTAAATGCAATAAATTCCATCCCCATATCTCCATTTGACTGCGTGAAACAGCATGAAGTAAAGAGACTTTCAGCAAAATATTTACAAATACTCTCACTGATAAGATCCATAAAATGAATGTGCTTTGATTTGCTGGTCCTTCAGTTCCCAAACCTCCTCCTTAATGAGTTTTTATCCCTAACTGCATTTGCAAGATGGAAAACCTTCAAAGTGCAAACTCAAAGATTTCCTCTTGAATTGCACGGCAGAACAGCTTTTAAAGCCTCTTCTGGTTTTGAACACAGAAACTTCTCCTAGAAAAGAATTTTTAGTTTTATAATCAAAGCGACACCTCCAGGCATGGGGACTCCAAACCTCCCTGGGCAGCCCCTGCCAAGGCCTGAGCTCCCTTGCCATGGAGAAATTCCTCCTGGTGTCCAAGCTGAGCCTCCCCTGGCACAGCTTGAGGCCGTTTCCCCTTGTCCTGTCCCTGTTCCCTGGCAGCAGAGCCTTACCCCCCATCAGGAATGGTGCAGAGATGCTGCTCTCTCATTAACACACTATTAACCATAACACACTATTAACCATAATACACTACTACATCCTATATATTTTAATAAATTCATATACCAGCCCCCCCAAGGTCCATGCAGGAACTCAGTAAAGTGCAGACAATGCACTTCTGTATTAATTAAGCCATTAATCACACCTTATATTCTCATTTCTCCAGCCTTAATGACAAACAGCTGCTTTACTAAAGGCTAATCAGGGTAGAGATTTAAATGTCAGTAGGAGCCTTATAATCAGCATGAGCAGCATTTCCTGTTGTGCTGAAACCCCCTGTCAGTGCTGAAGAAACAGCAGGAATTCTGTGGGATTTGATCCTCTTAAAGGCTTCAAAGTTATGTATTTAGGAGTGCCCTGAGATGAAAAACATATCTTTGGGACGTGTCCCACAAATTTAACATCCACTGGGAATTAGAACAGGCACAGACAGAGATTTCCTGGCCCGTCCCTCTGCACAGAGCCTGTGTTGGATGTAAAATATAAAATATCCTATTCCCTGACTGCAGGAGGCACAACCAGGAAGGAATATGAGAAACAAAGTGATGGAAGAAGATGTGTCTGCAACACGAGTTTCCTTACTCAATAATGTAAAACATCATCCTGCAGTCAGAGCTGCTCTGCTGCAGTGATGCAACAATTAAAGTTTATTGCCTCTTTCACACTTTTTCCCCAGCAAAATGCCATAGCTGGGGCTCTGTTTGATCTTTGGAGAAGCACACAACAAAATCACTGCTCATCCAGAAACCAGCAGGAGTTTGGACAGGGATGCCCAAACCTGCCATTTCTCTATGGCTGCAGATGTAGGAGCTCTCCAGGTGAGGGGATGGGGCACTGATTGAATTGCATGTTGAGACAACAGAGTGATGGGAATTATGATTTATGATGATTTCTGACAGATTTCTGCTGTGGTTCAAGGGCTGAAGACAAAGCAAATGCTGCTGGACAAACAGGGAAGAGCTGAGGCAAAAGTATCAGGATTTCCTGGGGCAGAACTGGATGGGGCTGGAGACATTACCAATAAAGTTTAAATTTGAAATGCTTGCCATGGTTAAGTCCTAATTTCTGATTGAAGCTGACTGAAATTATCTCAATCAATGATTTCAGTAAATGAGTCAAGCCCCTCTCTCCATCAACATTCCTGATTAAAACCAATTTAAAAAGTCAATAAACAATTTTGAACTTCTTTTCCAAAAAGAACTATTCCCAAACTTTTCTTCCTATTTATTTACCTGGGAACCCATGGAAATATATCCCAATTGAAAGGGGTGAAAAGAGGGGTGCAGAGCCCAGCCCAAAGCCTGGGATCTGTCCCAGCTGGTTCATCCATGCCCAGAGCCTTCTCCTTTCCAGGCTGAACAGCCCTAAATCTCTAAATAACAGGGATTTTTCATTACTGAACCTCTCCAGGCCTTAATTCTCTTTATTTTCAATACTTCCATCACATCCCCAGCCTGCCAAAGTTTGGGCTGTTTTGCTTCATTTCTTCTTGTGGACCCAGTGGCTGAAGATCATCAGCTCCTTTTTTCTTTCCTCACATGCCAAAGCACTGAAATAAGGGGGGAAATGCAAAGTTTTAAGCTAAATATTTACAGAAGAGCAACCTAAATACTGTTGATGTTATTTAATATGATATATTTTATGTTAGATAGGTGGGGAAGTCCTGAATATTAAAAAGAATCCTTGAAATCAGAGCAGCCAGCAGAGGCATTGTTTCCAAAATGAGATGCAATATTCAGATGGCCCTGCATTCTTTAAACATCTTCCCAAGTTTTTATGTGCTCACTGAAGCCTTCCCAAGTTTTTTCAAGGATCACCAGGTGAATCATCCTCTTGCTGGCAGCATTACCAGGCCTGAAAATTTTTATTCCCTTGCACCCCAAGCTGGAACTCGTCAGCTCACTTTGCCTTTTGGGCTATTTCATCCCAAAGATTGTTTGTTTATCTGCCCTCAGGCAAAGAAGCAGCCACAACTTTGTGTCCTCAGGGCTTTTTTGGGCAGACAAAACATCAAATTTCCACCCCTATTTAACTGTCCTCCCTCTTGGGTTGGGTTGTGCAGGGAATATTGTGGAAATATTCCCACCATGGGGGAAAACACAGCCATTTCCAGCTATTTCTGGTCCCTCCTGTTTAAGGTATGAAATGATGATTAAAGCATATTTAACTAAACAGGAGGAGCACATGGAATTGCTTTATGCTACCAAACACTCCGGGAATCATGAAGGAGGCTCCAGAATACAGCATGGAGTGATGGAGAGGATGCATCCAATAGCTGGAGCAGGAATAAATTCCTTTATTCCCAGATGTTTCTGTCCCAAGTTTCTAACAACAGCACTGGGACAAGGATGACTCCATCCTGATATCCCATTTTCCAGCAGGTCCTTTCCCATTTTTCCCCAGGGAGGTTTTGTCAGTAGGGAAGGAATCATTTTAATTTGGCCAAGGATAAATGCAGAGACAGAGAAAAGCTCCCAGTGCCAGAGGGCAGGGATGGATGGGATATTGGGAAGGAATTCCTCCCTGGGAGGGTGGGCAGGCCCTGGCACAGGGTGCCCAGAGCAGCTGTGGCTGCCCCTGGATCCCTGGAAGTGTCCAAGGGCCATGCTTGGAATGTTTGGGCTGCTGCTCAATCCCTGGTCTCGGAGGTGACAAATAATAAATGCAGGTTCTGTGAGGAGAAAAGGAAGCAGGAAGGACATGGGACCTCCAGGGAGCTCTGCTTTCACTCCAATCAGCTCCAGGCGCCCTGAGATTCCAAGGAAGTGTGTAAGGTTTGCTTAGGAATGACACCTGCCTGGAGAAGATCAGGCAAGACCAAGGAAAGAAGCAGAGGGAAATTGTTATTACCCAGCCCTGCTCTTGAACAAAACCACCTGGAGTATTCAATATAAATATAAATTAAATGGAGCATTAAAAAGGCACCTGAAACTATTGAATTTAACAGTATTAAACAGATCTGACAACACCTATCAGCCAGGGCTAAGCACAATCAGCTGGAGCAGGTACTGGGTAGGATCCTAGGATTTTTCTTGGAGTAATCCAGCCTCCTGTCCCAGAAATGTGTCACAGAAAACCGATGAATTATTCAAGAATAACATCACCCTGGGTGATTTGATCAATTGAAGGCCCCTGATGTTTCCCTGGCATTTGTTTTTCTCTAACACCATTCCCAATCTTTGCTGTCTCCCCCAGATCTCTCCATCCTCTTCGGCAGCCTCCGGACTCCTCAGCCTATAATGAGAAGTGGTGGCAGGGATTAATTAAGGAAGTGTTCAATTACATCAGGTATTTTCCATAGAATTTCAAACCTCTTGTACTACAACCCCTGCTAATTACCCATCCTGGTTTGCTCTCTGCAAAGTGTTATTTTACATAACCTTTCCATGGCACCTCTTACTCCTCCCGGCTCTGCTCTTCTCACATTCCTACAACACAGAGGTTTGCCCAGGTTTTTAATTAACCCTTGGAGCTCCCAAACTACTTCAGAAATCTTCCCCGGTCCTGAACAATAAAAGCTGAAATAATTCAGGAAGAACAAGCTGGAAGCCACAAGAAACACTCCCAAATCCTATCTGGAGTGTGATGGAGAGTGACGTGTGTGAGGGGAGATTAATGGAAAGCCAAAAAGGCTCTCAGGCAGGTCAGAAGTCTCAAATTAAAGAACTCATTTAGTTCATGGAATGCA